TTCTCCCCCTCTCTGCGAATGTATATGTATTGTGCGCATACAAATGGAATGGAATTCTGCTTGCGTTTGCATAAAAAATAAAGAAGGAAAAAAAAAAAAAATAAATAAAGGAAAAATTGTAATTCTCTTACCTAACAGCATGCTTTCTCGATTGTCAATTAAACCGGGTCGTCGTCGTTGCAAATCTCTTTCTTTGCCACCTTTCCATAATAGTGGCGATAAACTGGCAACGCATTTAATGCGCATTGCTCCCTTATGAAAATGTCTCCTTTCAAGTATCATCTGCAAGCCTAGTGTTGTTGTTATGAGGCCATGTCGATGAACGGTATGATTATAATGTATTAAATTAAGTTCGTCAAGTACCTGAGTAAAGGAAAATAAAAAAAAAATATCATATAATAAAGGAATTTATTTCTATATATTTTAATTTAATTCATTATATATGATTAGAATTATGAAAAATCTCAAAGACATTCAAATAGACTTGACGTACACCCAGTATATAGTAAGAATAGTAGAATCTGTGAAACCCAGAATTGCTCGTCTACGCCTTTACTGATATAATGAATGCGATCCGAAGCTTTTGTCTACAGAGACAAAGTTTTTTCTTAACAAATGAATTCCAAATTGCTGAACCCCCGCCCATGATTAACGTATAATCATTTATAGGAGAACCGTATCAATAAAATGAATTTTCTTTCTGTCTTTCTTTTTGCCCGCCTATTAAATACAAAAAGTTTAGAAGAAAAAACTTAATTATCAATTTTTTGTTTATCATTTTCCCTAAATTGAAGCTGAAAATCAACTAAATCGGATCAAGTACTTATACACAGTTAATAAGTGGTAGTCCGTAAACTTTGTATTTTTTCACACGCCAAGTGCTGCCAAGTTCCAAAAAAAAACCTTTTTCTTTAATATATACGATATAAACAATATTTATTATCGTAAACAAGCTTCTACTGTTCATAAATATTATTATACCCTACACCGCTTGTTTCGCAACGGTATATTAACTTTATGCAAATGTATGCAACAACCAGAGAGACTTGACTTGATTTATTATAGCGATCGATTAAGAATCACATTTAGCTACGATCTAAACATGTCTGTCCGTCTGTCTTTCAATTTGTTTGCGAATTTGCAGACGACATCCGTATTTTTGTGAACCACAACGTATTTATCGCAAGTACTATATAGTTAGGCATACGGACATATGGACAGAGGAACAGCCGGACATACTTATATCCATTCTATATTTGGCATTGATCAAGAGTTTCCATATATTGTTGGTCTTTAAGATTGCTTCCGGGCAATATAAAGCTTTGAACAAAAAAATTTTATTTAGATATCCCCGTAGTATTAAGTAGGTGTGATCAATTTTTTCCATATTTATGCAGACATTGTAGCATCGCCCAAAGAATATATACGTTGAAATGTGTATGGTTTTATCAGCTGTAGCTCGTAAGTAATAAGCAGTAAAACAATTTTTTCTCTTCGATGGAGAGCGATTTGCTCAACTTAAGGGAGATTGTGGACGTTTCTTGTAGCGGTCTGGACAATAATCAACACCAACCGGCGTGCAAGAACTTGCTATATTTCTACGAAATTTGAAGTTAACAACCAGGCGGGGAGAAAGACCTTACATAGACGGGTAGACGGATGGACGTATATGCTTAAGTCGATTCAGAATTTGTTGGTGACCAAGAATACATATTCTAAGTGGATTCTCTGAAGCTTCCTTCTAGGCGATGCAAAATAAAAATACCCCTCAACCTTCGGTGATGTGTAAAAAAGACGTGTAAAAGCTCTGTAGTGGGTCACGGCCTATTATTAAGTACCCTACCGCATTTCGCTTAATACAATCCAATGTGAACCAATTTTAATATCGATCATTCTTGTGTCAAAACATGTCGGTGCACCGAATTTCATCAATATAACTCAAAAATTGTGGTCTCTTGGTTGAAGATAGGTACACACAACACGAGCAGACAAGCTTGGCATCGTTTTAATAAAAGGTGGTTCAATCTCAAATCCTTCTGGTTGTTGCATTCATCCACACAAGCTTAATATATCTATGTATGACAAATGCTGTAGGGTATAATACAAATATGCAGTCTTCTTATGCTTTGATATTCTTCGTGAGGGCTCATGGGAAATTATTCTATTGTTACGTTTATAAAATTGCTTAACGTAACAACGAAACAACTTAACACAGTTAGGTTTCTAATTGCCATCATTAACATGATATTAATCTCTTATTAGCGTGTTCTTAACTCAACTGCTTTTTGTTTACTTGTTTCGATACATACATATCACAAAGGGTAATAAAATTGAAAGCAGTACTCATACTGGCATCCATTATGTGTGGAATCATTATTAATTCAGTGTTCATTCGTGCGTATGATTAACTCTTGTACCGTGTTTTTGGCTTGTTTTTTTATACCCATCACCGTAGGCTGAGAGGTATGTTCACTTGTCAAAACGTTTGCATGGCCGGAAGTAAGCATCGGAGACCCCACAAAGTATATATCAAATTCTGAATCGATTTAAGCATGTCCGCGTGTCCGTCTGTCCGTTTGTGTAGTGCCTTTTGCCAGTAGTGCCATTCCCCTGGCTGCAAAAACGAAGCCGCCCATTTTAAATTTCTCGGAGCCCTTTCCAAGTTTGTGCACGCAGGTTGGGTCAAATCGGTTGACGGACATGCCCACAGCACCACGTAAGCTGAGAACGTCTCCGTTTGTGCTCTTTTTGTGCTTATTGCTGATAAACTATAGTAGATAAATGTAGAAAAATTTGAACGCGTATTCTATAGACGATACTGTAGTAGAAAAATGGAAAAAATTGACCACGCCTATCCAATATTATAGTATTTAAAAATTTAGATTTTTTCTTCAGTACCTTTATAAGACGCCGAAACAAGTTTCAACAATTTCATAAAGTATATAAGCTCTTGGCCTGAACATGTCCGTCCATTCGTCCGTCCATCTGCCCGTCTGTGCAATTGGTTGTGGTAAACATTCTCCCGTTAGGGAAAGTGAATATCGCGGCTGCAAGTTTGCAAAAAAATTTGAGAGGGACCTAAACTTTCCACAGGACATGTCCACAACGCGTACACGCGTAAGCGACAAAACCTTCTAGTTTGAAAATAAAAAAAAAAATCAGCGGCGCTCATCGCATATTGTAAAGCATGAAAATTTTTTTCTTTTTTAGGATAACCGTAATGGGCATAAAAGGTTCGATCACGACCGAATATAATTTTTTTTCTTTTTTTTTTTTTTTTTTGTTTTTGTTTTGGCAACTTTGACATGTGCAGAATTCCATCCACGTTGCCAGGTATAGTAGTTATCTCGGTTATAAACATACGCGAAAAAAGAAAAATAATTTTTTTTTTTTTTCTTTAAAATTTGTGGTAAAGATGAAAACAAAAAATATTGCATAAAAAGAAACGCTTTTTTTTGCCATTTTAACGAGTTCGTATGAACTTTCTTTTGTTTCTTTGTTTCTCCATTACTTGATGCGAAAACCTTAAATCAGCAAAAATACTGTTCGTTCGTCTTCTTTATAAAAGTTCAGCGCGTTTTGATGTTGGTTGGTTTCGCTTTCTGAAATACTAGCAATAAAACTGACAATGCATCCTATGACTGTTTTTAATGGTAACCTGCAATGCTATCATCATTGCTGGTCGTTTTCATAGTTTTTATACAACAGATACCGTTTGCTTTTGTCATGTTACAAATGCAAGTTAAATTTCAAATAAATAAATAAAAAAAATAAATAAAAAATGCCAAATGTATGTAACTTAATCAAATTTCATTAAAAGATTGTGCTTTAAAAAAAAAGAGAGAGACGGAGAGAGAGAAAGAGAGGGGCAAATATAAAACAAAATTGAAAAAAATTCGTTTAGTTGAAGATAAGCATTAACTTACTTTAAGGGCAATGACGTTGAAAGATTTATTTAGTGTGATTTTTTCTAACAACCTTAGAATTGAATCTACTACATGTCCATAGCAGGTGTAAAAATCAATTTTGTCACTTTTTTGATAAAATTCAATTTTATTTATTAGCCTTTTTGCATATATTTTGATCATTTTTTCATTTGATAAAAGCATTTATTGAGAAATATTACTAAAATATATATACATAAAATATTTTCCATCATTTTCTCGATCATTTCAACTTTTTCCCAATCTTCTGGCAGCATGGAGGTACCATGTCGAACTTCTGAACTTTCTGGACTTCTTCGATATTTCGAAACTGCTTGTCAACCAAGCCAGGCTCCGTCGACCTGAGCAAGTGCTAATCACAAGGCAGTATGTCTGGTGAGGACGGTAATTGCGGCAGAACTTCTCATGCTTGCTGCAACAGCGTATTCTTGACAACTCTGGCAACGTGTGATCGAGCATTGTCATACATAAGGATGATTCTGCGTCTACTGCTGGCCTTTATTGCAACAGTATGTCGCTCAATTTGTTTAATTGACATCGGTAGACATCTACAGTGACAGTTTCATTCGGCTTTAGCCGTTCGTAAAATACTACACCTTGCTGATCCCATCATATGCACAGCAAAACTTCATGGACATTCGGTTTCGATGTGGATGATTCTCCTGCGTGAACTCATGACTCTTTGAAGAGAAGACGAAAATGAACAGGGAACGCTCTGAATGAATTCTCAAAGATGGAAAACGCTGATGATCGTTATGTGAGACTGGCATACACAAACGATACGTCAGGTATCGGCATATACATTTTCATGCATGCCTGTCACCCCAAGCACATTAAAAAGCGATTTATTCAAGATTCATTGTGTTTTTTATGTACGTAAGAGGTTAACGGTAAAATAGGTTTGCACTGTTAGACATTAAAAACCCAGATATGTTTATATATATATAAACATTTTAATACATATATGCGTATATATATGTAATATGTAGGTATTGTTATTGTTTCATCATTTTTATTTGATAGGCTCCCATGCAAGTGATATCGATATCGTGAAGGCAATCTACAAAAAATTATTTAATCATTTGTTGAACGAACGAAAGTGACAGAGTTAGCGATAAATCGTATATGCTCGTAGAGGTAACCATTGTTCAAACCTCTATTATTCAGGTAAACGAAAGCAAAATTTCATCCTATGCATCAAATTAAAGCCCCTCACATCATTTTTGTGCATGATGGTAACGATGACAAACGATTTATCAACATTGAAGAGATGCAGGCAGCAATTGATAGCTATATTAAGAAGCTCGAGACTTATCGCCTAAGCTAAAAGTATGTTAACTACTTTTAGGGATACCTATGACGGATTATAATTTTTAGTTTATATAATTATCCTTTCAATGCTGTCAATGCTTTAAATAAAAAATATACCTTGACTGCCATTGATATAACGAACGAGTGAATTAACAGTCATTTTTTCGTGTAAATGTTCGAGTGAAACTAATTATTTCATTGCAACAATAGAGTGTTCTCATGCGTAGAATGATACAAGTGACATAAAATAAACAAACGATTGTATTTCGTATACGTGGCTATCATCATAACAGCCGTTGGTCAAGCATAATAGTCATGCATTGATTAAATTGTGACAATAGTGGGACCTCATGCTGCAATCGAAACGCAAATATTCAATTAAACGACATTACGTGATATGTAGCTATTCTGTGCTTCTTATCTGCAGTGAAATACTAACATTCATTACGGACTAAAGCCGTTTAATATTAAAAGCAAACAAACCAGAAAAGATGTTTATTTACAATGAATATATATATATATATATATATATATGTATATATGTATATGTGTTCTAAGTTAAAATTTGCAACGAAAGCAAAAAAAAAAAAGCGTATATTTTGGACGCAAAACATTTGTGTCGTTTACAAGCCCAGCTTAACGCACTTTATCGGTTGACAAAGTAAGACAATAGTAAATCAATAAATCGTGACAACTGTACAATTTTAACGATTTATTCTACATCAATTTTCACGAGTAGTTCATTATAAAGAAATCTCCCCTTATAAAAAGGAACATAAAATGTCAATTTAAATGGAATTTATATATATTTTAAATGAATTCATCTCTTTTTTGAAGCAGAGTTGACAAACTGGAAAGAAAGTCAAGCCAAGTGAAAACATTGTAGTCAGATTAGGCCGACTGTTAAATACGCTACAACACATTATCTAATACAATTTTTATTTTTATTATAGAACATAAAAATTATAACCCGTTTCTATAGGAAGTTACTATTATGGGACTCTTTACAAATAAAGGCTTACTTTCCGTTACAATGATTATACCCAATAGGTTCAGCACTTTTGATACGCATTCAAAATCCACCGTAGTTCATTTTCATATCAAACTTGCTATTGAGAATGAATTTTTATAATAAAATATTAAAACTTAGACTTTTCTGCCCCAAAAAACAAAAATATTTGTGAAAACCTCTATATAGGGCAGGATCCAAAAATATGCCTGGGTGATCCAAATTTGGTAAAATTAATTTTTTTATCTTAAATTACCATAATGAGTGAAATTGCATCATAACATATTAAAATTTAGAGTTTTCTGCTCTAGGGTAGGATCCGAACAATAGCCCGAGATGGTCCAATTTTAATTTTTTATCTTAAATTACTATTATTATATGATTTTCATTCTGAAGCATTGAAAATTAGTCCGTCCTATCATATTCCCTTCAGTTTTTATATGAGAGGGGGTTCAATAATTGCCCCAGCCGGTCCAAACTTTTCATACCAATTTAAAATGCCGAAATACTACTGCTTAGTCACTTTTGCAGAGAAATCGTAATCGTAAGATCATAATTTTTAAGATATTTTGATGAAATTTGTTACACTGACATGTTTTCACCCAAGGGCGTACGCTATTTAAAATGGCTCGGGTCGGTCCACTTTCTTGAGAAGTTTCCGTACAATAACTTATTTTGAAAATTTGTTACATAAATAACTGTATTAAAGGAAGTGATGCAGGGCAACACTTGGGCCGTAGCCCATTATAGGGCCTTTACTTACACGTTCTCCCGGAAACTTTATTAATGATATTATATAGTGTCAAGTCCATTATGCAGCCTTATTCTATGGGTAGTGGAGAAAATAATGAGAAAGAACGAAGCGGAGAAAGCAATATAGGGTGTAGTCGCAGCCTGAGAGATGTATGCCCGATCTACGCAAGTTATGCTTTTATCTTTCGATCCTTTACTAGAGCTACGGCCTATGATAATATAAATATGGACTGACCTGTTGATTAAAAAAAATATTTGCTATATATGTTATATACATTACATGGAGTATCATCTATGTTTAATGGTTAAATTTTGGTTCTTTCTACTCGTAAAAACTAATCATTTCTTCATTTCTTTCTTGAGAGCGTTGAAATTGATCGTAAATTTTCTTTATATTTAGAATCACAGTTCAAGCAATTTAAATAAGCCGCCACCAATAATTCTATATATATTTAGTATTTAATTATTGCTTTCACTATCTTCCACTTCCTGTTAGGTGTTGCCAAGTTTCAAATACCATCCGTAATTAATTTATGCCGCCTAGCTGATTAATGAAGCTTCGCCTCATCTAGCGTACAAATACGTACACTGTTCGTGTACGGATGAAGAAAATGTCCATTTAAAATTATCATAATTTTATAGAAAGTTTTTTACGTTCGTACGTACATAAGGTAAATTTTTATATTAAAAAATTCATCCTTAACTGAATATAACTGTTTTCCTGCTTTCAATTACTTTCTCAGCATTAATTCACCAATAAAAAAAAAGAGTGTTTTTTATGCGAAATATTTTGTACCTCACTGGTAACTAATAAAAATTCAGCATACAAAATAAACAACAAACATTAAAACCGTAGTTAGGGAAAAAAACTAACAAACGGAAGATAAAATATGTAAAAAAGTTAGTAAATAGAAAACAGTGGAAGAAAAGTCTTCCTTCTGAGCGGAATGGAAAACAAATTTCGGAAAAAAAGAGAGACAACTAAAAACATATGAGTAATACAAAGTCGACCTTTAAGCAGCCTAAACCAATTCGCACGTAATACGTTATTTCATTTACTTCATGTTTTTTTTTATTTTATATAACTAATCACTCGGGGAATGTACCCTATCCGTGTAACACAGTGAGGGTCAGAACGAAGAGAAGAAAGAGAAAGGGAGATGATGACCGAAGTCTTGTGAGCATGTGCACAATAGATAAATGCCTTTACCAACTAAGCACTCAGTATAGCCACGACTAAAGGAAACTCCACCACGTTGAATAAAAATTGACTTATCTGCATTGAACCTTTTCACATCTGTCCATTATATCGAAATCGCTTTACTCAGAAATTTTGCGATTTGCCAAGTTTCGTAATACGATGGCTTTCTTAATATAAAGACTTTATATGGGGAATGCTAGTAAAAATGATTCGACTTAATCCACTTTCTGCAAGATTTGTTTTTGGCCCAAAGTACTTCTGCATATCTAGTTCAGCTCATCAAAATATCTTTAAAAAAAACCCATTTCTTGGGTGATGATAAAAATTACGGGACCGACAGACAGACAAGTTTATATCGATTCAGAATCACTGTCTCAATAAAAGTATAACATGTACTACAAAAATTACCGAACCGACAAACTGACGGACAGACAAGTTTTAATTAGACCAATCAGGCGGACAGACAGACAAGTTTATATCGAATCATTGTCTGAATAAAAGTATAAGACATACTACAAAAACTACTGGCCCGACACACTGACAGACGGGCAAGTTGAATTGGATTCAGAATTCGTTTCTGAATAAAACTACAAGACAAGATGAAGCTGCCTTCAGATAAATTACATCATTCGCTCCACCATTCTTTGATAGATGTTACGTCCATCGGCACAAGCTTAGTTTACCATGCTAAATCAGAACTCGCGTAGAGTCTAAAACGATCATAAATAGTAAACTGTCAAGTGATATCCGTTACGTTCAGAAATATATGACGAGCATTTTTTTTTCTTGCTTTCCACCATTTATCAGTTCATTGAATTATCGGTTTTTCTAACCTTTCTTGTAACAGTTACTACTACTATGACCGCTTAGTTTATATTTCTAGAAAAATTTTTAGCCTATATTATCATTCCATAGAAGCAAAAATGTAATAAATTTGCTGGAAACTAACTAATCCAACTGTTCATCACGTTTGCATAGAGAATTTCCAATGTATATACATGTTTAGTTTTTTCTATACTACCACATGCTTTATGCAGCTGCAACTGTTACATAAATTTTTAGTTTTTTTTTTTGCTTTACTCCTTTTGCTACTTTTTTGCTTTATCTTACCAATTAAGAGAAAATTACATCAAATTTCAGAACAAGAAAATACAATAGAGATTTGTTGTTTTTCTTCTTCTTGTTTTTTCTTTCCTTACACTTACCGTTTCATCATTTATATGCCATTGTAAATGGGAAGCCGGATGTGATTTCCCTGATGTACAATTTAAATCCAATGTTTCTCCGATTTTATATTGTAGCTGTTGCCCCCTAATGAATGGACCATCTCGCGGGAGATCTGCAAAAAGAAAAAAGTGAAATAGAGGGATAAATGCATAAATAAACAGAAGCAACGCAATATTTTTTCAAAATTAAAATTTATTATTCGCTACAATTTCTTCATAGTTTGATCAAAAAATAACGAGAATATTTCGAACGCGAACATTTCCCACTATCTATCTCGTACTTTAAGCCTCTTTTTGTCTTTGTGTTAATAAATCGGACAATAAAGTCTTCAAACCCATAGAGGACGTCCTTGAAATATATTTTGGTGACTGCTTCACCTGAAGATGTTGAGATTATTATTAACAAGTAAGAAAATTATGTTCGGCCCAGATCGAATCCGTTTTACCCATTACCTTTATCCAAAAAGAAGGAAGAAAGGAAAAGTTACTTATCGAAATTCGAATGTATTTCGCTAATTAACACGTCCGGTACCACGTGCACCGTTTTCAGCGCACACAAAAGTTCACTTGCATAACAAACGCAATTTTTTAAATTTAGAAATCAGAAACTTAGAAGAACACATATCCCTATAGTATTAGGTAAGCGCTGCTGACTCTTTTCCCTTTTACAGAAGGGAAATTTTATTGTGCCTTCTATAGTTTTTGAGGGATGAGGACAAAAACCCTGTTCTTAGTTTACGTTGCTCTGTGCGCGTATTCTCTGGTCAATTTTCAGTACCAACCTCTGTGCAAGAGCTTTCTGTGCTTTTGTCTAATTTGAAGTCGATAGCTTCATTTTCACTGTCAGGAAAAAATTTACCATAGAAATTGCACAGTCGAAGAAACGGAAATATCTAAAGCAATTCTGTGTATATAAGCTTTCTGAAGCGAAAGTATTACATATGTTTTGAAAATTTCAACGTATCCCTATTCTTCAATCGTGAATGTAATATAAAAAGCATTCGCAAAGATTGTGAAAAAGCTAATAGAAAATCACTTATCGAAATTTGAATGTATTTCGCTAATTAGCACGTTCGGTACCACTTGGAACGTTTTCAGCACACACAAACTTTCACTTGCCGTTTTTTTTTATTAGGAAATTAGAAACTATACATTTATTATCGCTAACACTACAGTTTTACATCACTATTCGAGACGTGTACCGATAACGGTACACGCAACATTTTTTGTTATCAATGATTATTTCACTCATGAGAGCTAAATCTTTGCGTTACAAATTTAATACATAATAAATACTTTTTTTTATTATATGACACATATTGTTACTTGAATAATAAAATTAGTAAATATAATATAAAGCAAGTGAAAACATTACAGTCGGGCAAGATCGAGCATTCAATAACGTACACCGCTTCTCCTAATACAGTTCAGTTTCGTGATTAAAAAGCATACATAGTTTTCATGCAAAGGCGTACTTCTCATAAAAATACTTCTTTTGAAGGATGTCAAACTGTCAACTGATGTGATCCCTATTAAGCAAACTTGATTTATTTAGCAAAATAATGTTAAAAATTATTATAATTTTTCACTCGTTTCGTCATAGACTTAGTTGCTTAGTTTTTATGAGAATCGTTATATACGTGATGGGGTTTAAAAAATAGGCTAATCTCATCCAAATTTCCTATGGTTAATCCTTATGCTAATGTTCTACTATAAATGAATTTTCATTAAAAAATATCAAAAATGAAACCTTTTTGCGAAAGCATTTACTATGCATGAGAAACATTATATTGGGTGGTGTCCAAAAACTAGGACTTTTTGATCCAAATTTGATAGAGTGAAAGGTGGTACTGAATTTTCATCGTAACATGTCGATATGAGTGCGTATTTTTCCTGAGGACCTTTATATGGAAAGGATTCCAAAAAAAAATCCTGCATAGTTTGAACTCGGTAGTGTTAATTTTTGTATAAGATTACTATAGCTTTTTATCATATGAAAGTTCAGTTTTTCGTTGGAAGGAGCATGTGGGAGGTGATTCAACAAATGTCAAAATTCAAAAAGTCAAGTATTTTTGTCGAGAATTGTTACGTAACAATTTTTCAAATTAAGACTATATACGGGAAGCGGTCGATGAGTAGTCCGATCCGAACCATTTGCAACAGCATTCGTCTTTGAGCCACAACACATTGGTGTACCATATTTCGTCCAAATATTTCAAAAATTTTGACCTACCAGGTGAACACCTGAATACAGGATGGACAGACGGACACGCAGAGAGACCATGAAAGATGGGTCTTTCTTATGTATGTATGGTTGCACTGCGAATGCTGTGAGGTATTAAAAGAAACTATTTTGTTGAAAATGATTAAATTTATATTTTTCGTGTACCAAAATCGATACACATGGCGCACAAATTCTGTGCACTCATTTACAGCTTGGCAAGGAACGTGCTACAGTCTCTTGTTTTGCCTTTGGTATGCGTTTCATTCTCGTTATGGATTTATGTATGTCCAAAAACAATTGAATACATTACGGCGTGCACGCACTTATTTATTATGCAAGGAGCACTTTGTTTGTGTTATTTGCTATTTTTGAATAAAAATGCAAATGAGGTATGTAATCAATACACAATAAAAACAGATGTTCTTATATTTTTTCAAAATATTATGGGACATACTTTCTTCAAATACTATGCAGCAAGTTTGTATGGATATCGATTGCAACGGAGCCAAGCATTTACACTCGTTCTCACTTCAATTCAAATTTAATTAATAATCTTGGATTACAAAATAGTCCTCATTAAACTAACGTTATATACGACTTTAGTATCACTGCACCTGTAAAAAAAATGTCAAGGCTATTGGGTTTTAAATCTATTTATCGATTGCTTCTACGTCCAAAATGCCAAAATAGGTGCATGAAAACTTCATCATAAAGTCATATATATCAGAAAGTGCCCAGATTCTTAGTAATTGTATTTTTACCTGTACCTACTTTAACCAGATATAGATTAAAGAGCGTATGCAATGATTCTAGAGGAAAAGATTTGGACTAAACCACAATTTCCGCAAACAGCCTTGTTTACCTCCTTTTGATTTTTTGCGGGAACACTCATAAACAAATTTCCGCACCAAATCAAAAAGTAGACGGTCGACTAGATTGCTGTTTGATGAGCAAAGCCAAAAAGAATATATCGTAGGGAAAGTGTGGGATTTTGACTCTCTTTACTTCACCTTACATGCCTGTAATATAACAAAATATTCTTTAGAAAACTTTCAATGCATTCACATCCCAAGAAAGCAGAGGATTCTGAGTCCTTCCACATTTATATTTATTATATAAATTTAGCAGATCTGAGATCCTTACACATACAAAGCCATAAAAATAATTTGTCAATTCCCAGAAAGTTTTGTGAAAAGTCGGGAAAGTTGCAACTGCATCCGAAAAATAAGAATGACGCCGAAAGGCATAAGACTTTGAATTTCTCTATTTGTAACACAGCAACCTGCACCCACATATATTGTCTCCAACAAAAAAAAAACTCCATATTATGTTCCGAAAGTGGCAACCCTTAAAGCAGCTGCAGTCAAAAGCTCATGTCATTTACATAATTTATTCACAACTTGCAAAACGTTTTAGTTATACTACTTTTCTCATTTTAAAAGCCACATTGATTTTTGAGGGACAAAAAATACTGTTCGAACTCAGCATAGGTTTGAACAGTGCTATGGCAACTCTTCTCTGTGCAAAACATCAACTTTTCAATGGACCGTAATGTTGAATGCAATGGATGAATGGGTGGGCGATAATGCAATGGATAAATGAAAGAGTTTGTTACGTCAGAAAACGTAAAAGAAAAGGCTGACATTTATTTTCAATAAACGAAAAGTGAGGTTAGAAAAGACAACTGATAGGCACAGTTTGCTCATTCACTGTATGCAGAAGTTCAGCCAGGAGAAAATTGCTTTCCTTGGGTGTCGCGTATACTTACAATAAAATTATATCGGTAATAACCGTCCTGGTCCATTCATTCAGTTTCTTTATAAATAGTCCTAGAAAAAAGGCATCGAAACGTTAAAAAAACGTCGGATTTTATTGCTCTCGAAGGGGACCGACTTCAAGATTGTCGTCGAGTTTTTTCTTGTTTAGTTTTCAAAACAAATCCCTTTACGTTTCTAGGTATGTGTAAGAAAAATTTCGATTAAGTAAGAAAATTACTTTCGAATCCAATACCTTTATCATAAGAAAACTTTCAAAAGAAATGAAATTCCAATGTTCTATAATATTAGATGGGCGCTGTACCATACGGTCGCAAAAAAAACAATTTTTTTATTTTCGACAATAGAGACGTTCTCTCTATGTGCTGTACTGCAAACATATTCCTTAACCAATTTCGCCCATTTTCATTACCCAGCGTCATGCAAGAGCTTGCAATGCTTTCGCCAAATATGAAGCTAGTATCTGAATTTTTGCAAAAGGTAGAATGTTAACTAAGCATAGACGGACGGTCGGCCAGGCGTCTTTAGATCGATACAGAATTTAATACTGATTAAAAAAATATACTTTATGGGATTTTTCGCCTTAGTAGCCGAGCAGGCAAGGAGTCTTGACTAACAACTCAAGAGTCGTGAATTTAAATCTCAAGTACGATAGAGTTTTTAATAAAGCCAATAAGGCCTTAGATGCTAGTGTTTTAAGACTTTAGTCTTAAAGTTTATTCAAGTCACTATGAAATAGCTGAAGGTTCCTTCTAGTCTTTGCAAAGATTTTGGCATAGCCAATTCTTCTTTGGGGCTAAATATAGAAACACAATTTTAGTTCTAGTGCCGCCACGAAAATATCTAAGACAAAGGTAGGTTTCTGCGTTTAGTTGAGCTGGTAGTAGTTATATATACACTTGAGGTAGCTCCTGATCTGTGCACCATATCTTAGAAAGGAATAAGATTCGCAGTCTATTGACATGCGCTTATCTTTGTCGCTTTAAAAGCAAGAAATGTATACCAAATAATTCCCGATGTACACTTATGCGCGGAATGCTACAATCCGTGAATTTCTTCCTTGCACGCGGAGATCTCTTTAATATCTTGATAAAGCATACATATCTTTAAAGGAGAGGAGTGTAGCGTCTAGAAATATGCAACAGAAGTCTTATTCATATAAATATGTCCTTAAAAGTTATGAAATTCTAAAATTTTCGAAACCGTACAAAAGTAAGATAAAAAAACGTACATTAAATATCGTAGTTAATTAGCTTAGTTAAGTTTGGCTGTTATTTTAATTATTTCTGATTGAAATAGGAAGGCAAGGGGTAAGGTCGGAACCGCCTTTTATGCTAGATGTAAATGGCCAGCCAACTTTTCGCTTCACAAACAGAATGACAAACTTAGCACGCTTTTCTATACCCATCGCCGAAAGGCGAGAGGCATATTCCTTTTTGCAACGCCAAGAAGGAAGCATCAATAACTCCCACAAAGTAAGGTATTTTAGATCAGCATCAGATTCTAAATCGATTATTAGGCCTCGCTCCGCCAAGTGAGAACACTAAGCCCATGCGCATGGTATAGACTGGTTTCCTTCAAATGACTATCTCATGCCGAGTGCGGGTCTTATGGGACCTAGAAAGTCCGACCGGAGACTTATAAATTATTTCTCGATTTTTCTCCTCAATTCAGGTACCACGGGCGTCAGGAGTCCCAAAGCACTTCCTCTAGTTTCGGCCTGACAACGGGAACGGCCCATAGTGGGAGTTTCGTAGTGGCTGCGGTTGGCCCAAAAATCGTGGGAAGAGCTTTTGCTCGGTGTGGAGTTGCATCGCAACCGGGTGCCTTACGCACAGAAAGGCAGAGGTGTTAGATAGTGCCTCGCCCTCACCAGAGAGGAGACGCGACCATAACGTATCTCGTCTGGCACGCGAGGACTTAATATTTCTCATGGCAACGTGTGCGCTGACTTCGGCACCGTATGTTGCGAGGATTATTAACCTCGGGGAGTTCGAGTGTTTCACAATCCGTGTGCCATCGGGCACCGTGGGGTTAAACCTTCACCATCTAAATCGGCTTAAGCATGTCCGTCTGTCTATGTGTTCGTCTGTCCGTCTGCGTAATTTCTGTTGTAAACATTCTCGCGGCCGTAAACGTAAAGCTATCGACTTGAAATTTTCCCAGAAAGATTGAAAGTTCTTGCAGGCAGATTGGGTCAAATCGGGCGAAGAACACGCCCACAACACCACGTATACTAAGAACACCTCCGTTTTTTAAAAGAATTATAAAATGGATTTTGGTCATTACTGATAAACTATTGTAGATAAATGTACGAAAGTTTGAAAAGATAGCCTATTGGCGACGATGTAGCATTTGTGGGCAAAAATGGAAAAAATTGATCACGCCTAACCAATAATATAGTGTATCAAAATTGAATTATTTTTTCAACACCTTTGGAACGCGCAGAAACAAGCTTCAAAAACCCTATAAAGTATATAAATTCTTCGCCAGTTTCAAATTGGGAATGCACTTCAACATGTCGGCTTGTCTGTCTGCGAGACTATGCAGTATTTGTGGTAAACGGCTACAAATTTGCAAAAGAATTTCGAAGTGACCTAAACATTTCATAGGAAACGCCTACGGCGCCCACACGCCTATGCGATAAAAGCTTTTATATTGAAAATAGAAAAACTCAGCCCCGTCCTCCACATGTTATAGAGTATGAAAATTATATTCTTTTACTGCTTTTATCCTTTTTAGGATAACTGTGATAGGTATAAAAGATTCGATCACAACCGAATATAATTTTTACTTATTTTTTTGCATTTATTTTGCATACTTCTATACTGATGGTGAATATAAAAAGAAAGACAACAGAAAAAAAAAAAAAAAAACAAATAGAATTGCAAACAATCAGATTCCTAATGCAGTTATTTACATGTTGTCGAAATGCCATTTGGAAAACCTCACCACAAACATTTCGTACAAACAAGCTCACACTCAATAAACTTTCAACAACACGTTTTTGATACTGCTCTCCATTCATATTAATATCATTTTTAGTATTGAATATGCATAACTTGTCGTTATCGTTATTTTTGTGTTGATATCTGATCCATTTGTGCCCAATTATGTTAAAGAGAGAGAGGGAGAAAAAAAAATGGCTTTTTACGAACACAAAGAATGCATTTTCATTTATTGTATACTAATACGTAAATATCTTGATTAATATTTTCGTTATTGTATGAAGATAGCAAAATAAGCAAAAAAAAGAAAAAAAAATTTCCATCATTTTATAATCGTTTAGCTTTCGTCAAATGTTTAAAAACTTTTTAGAAAAAAATTCTTTTATTATAATGATTTCAAATATTCTCTGTAGAAAATTTAATGCGTTTTGGGAAAAACTCTGTCCTTAATCATTCCAACTCTAAAAATATACAATACCTCTTAAATATGAAGTTGGGATGCAATCAAAAAAAAAGCAATTTTCGTATGCACCCATCCATCATATGAACTCTGCAAGAAATTTACATTAGGTAGAAGTATCTATTATACCAAAGAGGGATATCCTCACAAAAACTAGGTTCACATTCCTTCCATCATGTCAGCTCTGCACGAAAACTACGGTAGGTAGGTAGGAGTACCTATTATACTAAAGAGTAACATCCTCACTAAAACTAGATTTTCATTTCTTTCATCATGTCATCTCGCTTAAGGGGTCACATAACAATAAATCCCTCCCCTGTCTTGCAATGAAATATTTACGTTATTGATTTAGAAGCAGATAAAATCCCCAGATCTATTCAAACGCTAGCTGCAAATTAGTTTTAAAAACAACTTCTTCCAAATCGTCTATTAATTATTTTTTGTTTTGAAAACAATGTACAACTTTTGTTTAGATATATAATTTCTTTCCATTAATTTACGATAAAATTATTACTTCGTATATGACAATGTACTTACAGACGACATCCATATGACCTTCGGCTTCAACAGATGAAAAATTTGGAGCTTCTGCTGAAATTTCGCAACGATATAAACCTGTCGAATTTATTGTCAAACCTCGTAATAATACACGACTACTATCGGAATGCTCTTCCTGGAAATAAACCAAACAAATATCCAATGATTATATCATTTTTCATATTTATTCAACGTCTATAATACCACATCAACGTCTATAATATTTTCATTTAAAATTTGTCGCTGGCCAATACACTCCCTCTGTACCACTTAAAATTTGCATGAGACGGTACCCAAAAATTTTATATATTCTTGATTAGATCAGAATTAACTATATTTGTCTATGCATTCATATATTGTTGAACTTTGTGAATATCAAAAATGTATAATAAAAGCTGAAAGCGGCACACGTATATCTCCTCTTCGCTTTTAATTACACCAGCAAGCATATTATAGCCGCGCATTAAAAACCCTACACCACCTCGTCTAACATAATTCTTATTTTTATTATAGAACACAAAAATTGTATCTTGTATCTATACAAAGGCATATTTTTCAAGTGCGTATCTATGCGGAAACGGGGCTCAAAAAGCAAACTAATGAAGTACAAGTTAAATCCTTACCAAAACCCACACCTCAAAAATATTTGTATGAAATTACTAGTATGTGTTAACTTTCATCATAACATATTGAGAATTAGACTTTTCTGCCTTAGGATCTGGGATAGGACCTAAAAAAGAGGCCCAGATAGTCCAATTTTGGTGCAGTTAATTTTTTTATGTTAAATTACTATTATGATATAATTTTCTTCGTGAAGCATTGAAAATTATACTTTTGTGTCGTATCAACTTCACTTTTCATTATATGAGATGGGGTTCAAAAATTGGCCCAGCCGGTCCAAAGTTTCCATACCAATTAAAAATGCCGAAATATTATTACTTAGCCATTGCCGACATATTTTGAAAATTACAACTTTTTTTCATATAAAACTTTTCAAAATAGGGCGTTATATGGGGAATTGTCGGAAAGTGCACCTATTCAAATTTCGGCCTTGGGTCAAAACACGTCACTATACCAAGATTCATCAAAATGTCTCAAGAATTACGGCCTACAGCATGAAGACAAATTTATATGGACAGACATCAGACGGACTGGCAGGCTTACATCAATTCGGTTAAGTTTCTGAATCGATCGATATAATAAAAGGTTGATCTATTTTAAGTCCTTCTGTGCATTACATACGTCCGTACTAACTTAATATACCCAATCCCACAAGTGAAGCCGGTTGAAAGTCTTGATTTCATCAATGTGAATACTGGCTACTCTGTCTTTTTTTTATACTTTTCGAAACATATCAAAACCATAAATTTAATCAAGGGGTAATCACGTAACCAGGCGATTATCGCCCGTAATTATCGACTGCGTTTTTTTAGGAGACAATTAATTATCACCAGGATGCTGATCAGGTACCATCCTTCTAATACTTTCCCTCAAAGTTTCTATTACAATGCATTAATAACTGAGAGAAGCGTAAAAAATAAGAGCCAAATTGACGTTGATTGATTTGTACAAACAAACTGCATATGGTAAACAATAACAAGCACGCGAAATGTAATGAATAGGAAACAAGCATGAAAGTTATTTTCGGCAGGGGCCGAATCTCGCCTACCCACCACTATGTTTTTCGCATTCTACTCTCCAAGTCCTTTTATTTGACACCCATATCGCTGGTTTTATTAAAAAGAAATTGATCACGGTGTCAACAATATTCATTTTAAAAGTAAGCCATTTTTAGACAGATAAAATATCTTCATTTGAGGAATAATGTACAAAATAGTTTTAACTTTGTCTTGTTTGCCTTATGAGAAATATGGATAAAACCTCAAAAAAAGTGAAAAAAATTAAACTTAATTACTCATGACTTTGTGTGGACTAGGTCGATTGGTTCTACCAATTTTGGACCTAGAGAGCCAAGTGTCTCGTACAGTAAATGTGGAAAGTTTCAGCCTTCTAACTTTTATAATTTCCGAGTAACGAACAAAAATCCAAAAATGTTTGTTAGAAAAAACGGAGTTACGTTCAGTTTACGCTCCATTGCGCGCTTCTGCTCCGACCAATTTGGCCCATTTTCAATACCAAACTGCGTGCAAGAATTTCCTACATTTCGACCAATTTTGAAGTCGATATGTTTATTTTTGCGACTACGAGAGTGCCAACAGCATACACCACACAGGCACACAGACGCACAAATGGACGGAGATGGCTAAATGAGCTCAGAATTTGACGCAGATCAATCATACACATAGCGTCTCTGAAACTTTCGTTTGGAGTTTACATATATTTTGGAAAAAAAAACAATATGAGTATATCCCCATCTTACAGTGGTGGGTATAATCATGTATAATATGTGTTAGATTAGAGAACAATAAATCAATTTGAACATTGAAATTTTTTTTTCTTCGGATGCACTTAATTTTTTTTTAAATTTTTTCAATTTTTGAATAATAATTTTTGAATCAATAATTCATTTTCTAACAGCTGTTTTTTATTTTTCTTTCGCAACTACTTTTTTACACATGCAATACTAAAAAAGAGATTTGTGGTGAGTTTGCTTGATTTAGACTCAATACTAATGCAAATTTGTGCTCGACAACAGCAATTTTTTGTCGCCAGATTTGACGTAGGCGTGAGCGCATTTGTTAACAATCGCCAGCAAATTTACCGACATAATTGGATTCTGTTGGCGATTGTCGCCGACTTCATTGCATAACTACACCCCAGCTAAAGTTTTGTATCGACGCTTCGAAAATCTACTATGCTAAGCAGGGTGGCATGAGGTAAGAATAATGAAGTTTTCAATACAGAGCGAAAAATCGGACATAATAGGTGTTTGCATGTATTTTGATCAGCGACGTCTATTTTGTGGAAATGATAGTATGAATGAAAGTAATGCGAAATATCAATATACACAAGGATCAAATTCGATAATTTTGACCTTTCTCTGCGTAAAATAGCAGTTTTTCATTTACTAAGCATTTCAGTGTACATAGACGCTAATCATGGAACGCTCAATACCAACATTCATTATTTTTGTTGTTTGTTTTGAAGAAATTTGCTGCTGAAGTGCTTCAAATACTTTTAAAAGCTTAAGGTGACACTGCTGCATCATATCCCACTTATTGGTGGAATGGAATTCACAGATGGTTATATGGAGAAATTCAAGTACTTTACTCTTATGAGAACAATGGGGCGGACGAAAGCTACTTAGCGAGCGGACAAATCATTAACCATGGTCCATTCTATACCTATGGCCTCTCTCGGCCCATGATTTGAAATGGAAGAAGAAGGATACATTATTGCAGCTCGAATGGAAAGTTTTACTGCACTCAGCGTACTCACCAGACGTAACGCTTTATAATTACCACTTCCTCAAATCGACGCAGCATAGCTTGGCTGGTGGTTTCGCAAAGTTGAAGAAGTGCAATATCGTTCCTTCGACATAGTATAGTCATGTTGCCAAGAAGATGGGGAAAACTTGTTGAAAATGGTGGAATCAAAATAAATGGAACCACCTAATACATATATATACGATATATTGGAAATTTCGTTTTTCGAAAAGATAAAAACGTGGCGCAAATTCACAAACATATAAAGAACTCATTAGCGTACAATGTCGGCTTGTCGGAATTCAGAAATAAACGCATATTTTCGGAAGAAGGTATAAAAGTTTTATCTCAAAAATTCTTTTAACTTTAGTTGGCAAATCGTCACTGATGTTGTTTAAATTAATCGAACGAATATTGTAAGATATTTCACGTGCATGAAATTTACTCGACCTTTCCTTACGGACTTGGGCATATAAAAAAAAATTTGTTTTCACATTTTAAAATTATTAGAAATCGTCTCTATTTCGTTTAATTACTTGTTTGCTATGCTGTATTAGTAATGTAAATATAAAATGTATACTTACAATCACTCGAACACCCTCTACCTTATAACTAGTTTTTGGTGGTTTCGCCTTTGGCACATAACGATAGAATTCTTCATTTTCTTTGTACCACTTTATGGCATACAAAGCTTCACCTTTTCCATATTCTTCCCCTTCTTTGTCATCATTAACTTGGTCGCTTTGTTCGCTGCTGTCAGCGAAGCTATTATCAGGTACTGCATGTCCAAAAGGACTCATGCGTCGAGAATTCTCAACCGGTTCGCTATGCCTATCAACATTATATGAATCAATTGCTCTCGAATGGCTTGCATCAATTTTATCTGCGATCGCTGGACTTTTCCCCCGATATATGCTATGCGCATACGGCGAAGATGATGTCTGATAAGCATATAAATATTTTTGCTGATCTGGCATCTCTTTTGACTCTGGCTGCTGATAATGATACTGTTGATAAGATTCCTGTAGTGGGTGATGACGGTCATAGAATTGACTGTTATCAGACGGATGCTTTTGATGATAGGAATATTGATATTGATTGTCGTATTTACTTTGCTGACGATATGGTTGCTCTCGCCATTTTTGTTTATTTTGCGGTGCACGCAATCGTCTTCTTGAGAACCATTCTTCATCTTGGGAATCATGCTGATAATTGTCATGTTCGTGGTCGCGATTAGGACTATAAGAATTTATTAACGATATATCCCGTACCTTATCCAATTCGTATTGACATTCAAGAAACACAGATTCACCCCTTAGCTTATAAGAAGGTATTGACACCTTCACAAGCCGCAAAGCAGCGAAACCTACAACGAGAAAAATTTATATAAATAATTGTAAATAAGGTTCAGGATTTATTTAAATGCACGTAACTTAAGGTAAGCTAGCCTTATATTAAACCAATCATTTTAGAAAATTATGCTGCTTGTCTACCTGCGCATGTATTTGCCTGTCTGGCGCCTTCTTACGTAGCGACAGTTCGCAATTTTCAACAGACAAAACCTATTTGGAAATAATTTTTTATTAATTTGATCGTACCAGTGTTATGAGCTCTGGCCATATGACGTCTTAGTTTGAACAACTCATCAAATGAATAAAAGTTTTAACGACAAAAAGCGCCAAATACAATATTTCATGCCACTTCTATAGGATAGCTCCTACCAAAAGTGAGCTACTTACCAACTTTTATTCTACTATTTATTATTATAATTGTGTTTGCAAAAAGATCTAATTTTCAGTACCTTATGATGAAAATTGCCACGTAGTGCTGAAAATCAACTAAGAAGTATGCTTGTACATGGAAAAGAGGTATAACTTCTTATTTCCCATCACGAAAATCAATGAAAAATTGTATTACGCAAAATGATGTAACGTGTTTAATGGTCGACTTGAGCCGATTGTTATGTTTTTACTTTTCATACCCTTCATCAGTTGTGGTAAAGTGATATACTAAGTCTGTGCAGACGCATGCAACGCCTTGAAAGAATTTAGAGTCATTTCCTGAATCGATGTAAACCTATCTGCCCTCCCGTCCAACTTATTTTCTTCTTTTTAAACTACAGAGCACCATTATTGAGACATTTTGATGAAATTTGCATCATTGACGTGTTTTAGCGTAAGGACGCAAGCTATTGAAAATGGTTCGAATGAGATACTTTTATGACCACTTTCCTTATAAAGCCTTATTTTGGCCATTCTTATATTAGTAGCTGTAGGGTGGAGAAGGGTATTCGACGATGAGCCGTGGCACACTATTGTGTTTTTCCTTATTTCCAATATATTTTCAAAAAATACGATAAAAAATTATTGTAGATCGCATATCACGTACTGTGGCTACATAATGTCAAGATGTCTTTAGGCTCTTGATCGTTGTAAACCCAGCCTTAATAGATGTAGAGCGTAATTTTTTTTTCCGTCTGCTACGAAGACAAGTGCTGACAAAAGTCATCACTGCGCTTGAGAAAAAATGTTCGTATTATGATGAAGCAAATCATAACATAGTGCCACGCCTCAATGTCGAGCGCGAAGCCAAACGTCCTTGTCCCCGACGTAGCTCTGTGGCTAAGGAATGTAACAGAATTGAAATGAACGTTGGGCGAAGAACATACTAAAGCCTTTGGCAGGGTTTTCTATAACCTACACGACTGGCGAAGTTTGTTCGAATTTACGCAATAACCACAAGGGCTTCAGCTAGATCGTCGACAATACCGATTGATGCAGAATCATTTTCTGATTCAATATCAGTTTGTTTCTCTGCAGATGTGCTAATTGTTCCAAAGGTTCTTCTAAATGCTATGAACCGAATGTACGTAATGTACTCAGAGATCTGGATACACCAATTTGCGACGGTGACTAATAAAAGCGAGAAAAAATTTTAAAAATTGTACTTAACAATAGAGTGATCATTACTAAAAAGAAATTTCGTAATAGTCAAGCAAATATCTTGACCAAGAAGCAGGTGATTGTGAAATTTGAATCGAAACCGCTTTATTTTTTCCAAACACAATAATGTTTTTTACAGTTGTACTCTTATTGCCCAAGTTTCCAAACGCATTGAGAGAAAGACGTCTTTCAACAAAAATAAGACAAAGTTAACTGCAAACCGAAATCTAAAAAAAAGAATAAACCTTTTTCCAGGTGAAGACTGCAACGTTCGATGTACAAGGGCAAGAAGATAACCGCGATGGAAATAAGAAATAAATATTTTTTAAGAAACACAAAAACTGCCGTTAGTTCTAGATGAAGTCATAAACATTGAAGATTACAATGTTAGCAGCAGATCCTGCAAAGGTTCCATGTATTTAAATTCGACTATATATCTTGTATCTATCTTTTTTTTTATGGACATAGCGGCAGCAGACTGTCGACTAGTAGCCCCGCAACGCTTGGGTGAAACAAAACTGAAACCGCTTTTGCTCATGATGAGCCCTACATTCTTCGTATTCTCATGAGGTCAGAGGATCGATTGTCGCTTTTGTGTGGCCCTATAACCGAAACGTGTCGTGAAGAGAGCTGGTATTTTTCTTCTATCTTTACCTTTCCATCAGCATTATCAGTAGTAGGTCACAAAGCGTAGCTTCTATTTCCGCAAATCTGAGAAGCATCAAAGATGCCCACGTCTTTTTTATCTAACTATTTATCTATATATCTTCTATGGGTGTACCTTCATCTATCCTTTCTTTTCAAAGGCTCGCACACAACGCCAGCAGTTTAGAAGCCGCCATTTCCTTTTTCTCCGTGTGCCACGGCCACACAAACTCTGACGTCTTTACTAGACCTTCAACGCATCGTGAACGCAACACAAAGAGTTTAGAATATGCCATTTTCAAGATGACACACACTGTGGCGCTCTTCCCGGGGTTCCTTTTCATGTCTCCGTCTGCTGGTCTTTTCCTTCCGCCTTTATCGAAGGCGGGAACCTGACAGCGAAAATATCCCTTTGTTTATTATTTTCAATCGACTACTCCAAAAGTTCGCGCGGTAGTTTCGACAGTTGACTTTAGCCACCCTCCGACTTTTAGAAAGTTACAAATATAAGACTAGATTGAAAATTAAAATATTGGTCATATCGGTAATTTCGATCGCTTTAAATAGGGAGCGTTTCGCAAAACAGCCACAAATAAATCGATGCATGATTTTTCTAACCTATAAAGGACGTACGCACAAAGAAGAAAACGCAAATAATTGCATCTACTATATATCTTGAAAACTTTCCTCGCCTCTTTCAATGCAACAACAAGAAGTCGACATAGGAAAGAAAAATTCAGTTCATGTTGAATGCAATTTCTTTTTGATTAGTGTTTTAAGAAAAAGCCATCATAAAATGAAAAGGATGCTATTTCTGATGAAATGATTGTTAATTCTCCATTCTCTCTATTCATGTTCATATCTTATAAGCTTGCCTTTCAACTTTTATGATCTTTCCTGGATTCGTCTTTTGTCTCGTTATAATTTGATTAAATCACGTAAATATTTAAAAAGAATTAAAATTATCTTTTCATAAGCGCCTTACCTTATTTCAAAAGAGTTTTTTGTTTTCGCTGCACATAAAACAAAAGCCACAACTACTGATTGGCACACACACACACAATATTCTGATGTAACTTCTGCATATAAATCAAATTGCTACTTATGTGGTTGTGGAAACGAATGATGCGGAATATTTATTAAAATTTATTTACGACTTTTTGCGGATAGTAAGTCAAGTATAATATAATGAATACAGGCAAATATATTACGTTTCTTGAATATTTGCGATGTTAAAATTTAAATTTTATGATGATTTTTATAATGTGCTACAACTCTTGATTATGATATCATAAAAAAATAAAAATAAATCTCCATACTTTGCTTACTCTTTAAGGAAATTGTAAATATCTCATAAATAAAAGACAAAACATGGGAAGAGTAAATATTTGGCTGTGCAAGTAAGTCATGCTCAGGCTACCATAAAAGTAAGGTTATGTTCTATGTTTTATATACAGTGTTGCAATAAATTTGCAATAAATCTATTCTTTGCACTCAAAATATGTTTGTTATCAAGCAAACATTACAGCAAATAGGACTCTTATACTCAATGCGGTTTTTTGGAACATTAAATGAGACTTCCGAAAGAATCATCACTTTCGATCCTTAAAAAATACGAAAAATAGAGATTGGGCTTAAGCCGAGTTTTTCACTTTGTGAATGTTCGACATCCAAGTGCAACTCAGTTTCAACATTTTCCCATTTCTTATATAGAAGACTTTCCTATCAAATTTAACTTAATAAATATGTTTATAGAAACCCCTTAATTTGTTTTTATTTGCAGGCTTAAAATTACACCGATTGGCATCATTTTGGCTCAAGATAAAGTTTATAAACAAGTTGGTCGCCACATTTAATAATGGGGCACGAAAACAACCAGGGCTTGGAAGAAGCGGAATTCCTAGCATGGAAAAACTAAAATTCATGATGCCGTCATAAAGCAAAAGTGGTCTTATGCAGGTGGCGATTGCCAGTGATAAAACCGTGAGGAGCAAAGTCCGAGCTCCTTTTGGCCCGCATTATGTTAAGGTTAATAGTTCACATTTCCAAGTAATTTAAGTATAGAGTAAACACCTTCACAATACGACTACGCCAATCACATGACTGACGTGATCGAAATCATCTCTTTTGAATGAGATTAAAAGAAGTGGCAATCAAGAGAAGAGAAACAAACGACCTGACTTACGAAGTCGGAATTGTGTGGGGTTCTCGCTTCTTTTAGCCGTAGACAAGAGTAGATGTGTGCTTGAACAACTAACCATCTTGAATAAAAGTATAAATTATGATAGTAAGTGATGAGTCAGTAGTGGAGCTGTAAAGCCTGCTTGAGATTAATTGTAAGTCGTGATAAATAAAAATTGTTTGTGTAAGTCAACGAAGTTAAATGTTTCGCATTCTTTGGTGATGTAAATTAAAATACGTTGCCACAACAAATAGAAGTTTTGTAGCAAGAAGGAGCAATAATTTGTCTCAGCCCATAGGATAGATTATATCGATGCACCTGGCGTGAATTCTTAATCAGGTGAGTTCCCTAGAATTATTGACAATTAATATACTTGAACTGGACACCTCTCAGCCTTGCAAGACAATCCTGCAAGAGCGGAACGGTCAGCTCTCGCAAATTGGTTAATCTCCTGCGATCAAAAAGTGACTGGACATGCCAGCTTTCGTCAAAGTTTCCATATGGTATGTCCATAGCAATAGCAAGCGTCTCCCCGAAGGATCTTCGCAAGCACCAAGCACGGTTCAACCAATGCTGTCACCTTTACCCATCTAAGCAGAGTACTTGTGACCTTGTGAGCGGGTAACCTGACCCCGTCGATACCTTAGCTCATAGCATACTTTAGAATTAGCGGTATGCGCGTGCCATCATATTCGTAATTCCACACTTGCGTTTTGGATTCTCCATACTTCCGGGAAAGCCACCCCTACTACTCTATCCCCTGAATTTGTTGGACTAGGAGAAGTAATCAACTCAGTCAGACACCCTCGCACTACACAGTCGTTAGCTTTTCTACAACCTACTCACTGGACCTCCTGAGTAGCCGACAGCTTTGGTGAGGAAGTCTGAACGCGCCCGGCCCCCAATACTCTTTCACCAAGAAAAGTAGCCCCGCCGCACGGGAAAACTCCATAGGACATTAGGATAAGAATATATTTCTGTACTTGTGCGGTCCAGGAAAACAAATTTCCTGAATTCCGGACGCCTCTAAGAATACTCCATCCTTAAGTTGATAGGAAATTCGCAATTTGGTACAAATATATATAACCCGCCAAGTTTTCAAGTCAACGTTAACGCATATATTCTTATGTCCTTACAACATAACAATGTCACAACGTAAATTTTAATATCGCAACAACTTCATATGGATGAAATTTGAGATATATTAGAGATCACGCCAATAACAAATTTTTCACTTAAGTAAAAATTGAATAAAAATTCGCAGAGATAATATCGCCTTGTAATTTGTTTTTGTATTTTTCTCTTTTTTGTCGTAAACACTTCCGAAAGTATATAACATGTTTTCAACATAGATTAAAAGATTCGAACTTTAAGGCGACCAGTTCTTCGTAAGCAAGTAGAAGAAAATTTGTTCAACTTCAATTTTTTAATCAAAATCACTTCTCCACTTCACTTAAATTCACAGATTCAGTTTTTAAATAGCCAAAAAAAAATGACGATATCCCTGACAATGGCGCAGAAGTTTTCAAAGTGCTCTGATCTTTTGAAAGCATAAAACAGAGATTTGAAATTAATTTACAATATCACATAGTGAGGTTTCCCTTACAGCAGTCGAGCACGAAAGTTCGATCGAAATTTAATGTAACCTTCAAACCTTAGCCAATTCCAATCCATTAATTTGTATTAAACGGAACCTATCAACCTATCAACTATTACATATATAATATTATCATAGCACTTTACCTGCACCGTGCAGCTGGCGACTGGCGGAAACCAGATTACCAGGTTAACGAATTAAAAATGACGCGATGAATTTAGATAATGGTAACTTGCTTGTAAAAGAGTACACAAGCAGAATATTTGCCAAAGACAAAGTCAGTCGAGTCAGCCGCAAGAAAATCGAAAAGTGAGTCGCAAAAGAATCGGAAGCGAGTCGAGAGAGTCGATTCAAGAAATTTGAAATGCAATCTTCAAATGAATAGGACCCGGACGAGACTTAAACCGCAAAAACATATAGGTTCCTGAAAATAATTTGTAAATGGATCTCCTAATTTTATAAACAAAATCTATACTATCCTAAAAATCACAATCCAGTGATGCGAATTTAATTTCAAAAAAGTTCACGAAAGTTGGATTTACGTTACAACATATTAGAACGAAATTAGTTTTATGGTGTAGAAAAAAGCGAGACAAGTCCTGACTGAAATTTTTATTATCCCTTATATCACTTGCGGTAAGTTTGTGCGAGTGTTTGCAACACCCAGACGGTCTTGAAATAGACCCACCTTTTATTGCATCTATAGATGCATTGCTAAATCGATCTAGTCTTGTCTGTCCGTTTGTCCATCTGTCCTTCTTGTTTTCTTGTGTTCAGCCTACAAGCCGCATATGTTTAATGGAATTTGGAAAACTGACGTGTTTTGGTCCAAAGATAACTTTTTCAAGCTCTTCATGGAAAGTCTTAGCTTTACAAGTCGTTATATGAATAACTGTAGCAAGCTTCATGCAAGAGCTTTCAATATATTTTGCCAACAATAAAGCTAGTATCTGAATTTTTGCAACGTTGACCGTGAACAGAGGGAGGCAGGGCCAGGCGTGCGTAGATCGATACAGAATTTAATACTAGTTAAGAATATGTACTTTATGGGGTTATTTGCCTGCGTGGCCGAGTGGACAAATAGTCTCGATTAACAACTCAGTGATCGAAGATTTAAATCCTACATGCGATAGAGTTTTCAATAAAGCTGTTGGTCTTAGATCCTAGTGCTTTAAGACTTTAGTGTTGAAATTAATAATAATAATAATTCAGAACTTCTTTTTTTTGGCAGTCACTCTTCACCGAAAAAGTATTGTCTTTTTGAAATCATACGTACCATGAATGAAACAGCAAACGACTAAGGCAGTGCATGCTTCCAATGATAGATACATTTCCGCAGCATAATCCTTTTTGTAAACGTATTTCCACTTAATCTTAGCACATCACACTCATGGCTTTTTTTATTTTATTTAAAATAACAAAAAAAAAGCTATGTTGATGTATGGACTTATCTTTGATAAGCATCACCTTAAATTAATGCCAAGCACTTGTATTGTGTCTATGAAGTTTCTTTTGTTGTTTGTTCATGTCATAACATTTGACTTCATCATCTATTGATGGCATTTAAAAAAAATAAGAAAATTACACATTCGCCATGGGACGAATTTCCGCTACCTCCACCAGTCTATAAATTCTAATTCTAAGTTAGCTAAACAATTATCGCTACTTTTGCCTTTAACTTTTGGTTGCGCAGAATTTTAGATCAATGTCTGTGCAATCCAGGCTTTTACCTAAACGTTTTTCAAAGCTAAAGTGATTCAGCTGCGCATTCAGTTAGATTTTGAAAAAATGTATATTAAATTGAAAGCAATTTCCGCCAAGTGCTGTGAGCAGGAGACTGCTTTTCACATTAAAATTCTGGAAAGCCCTATGAATTTTAGCTCAGTGTCTGCTAAATACTATAAGTAAGAATTTTTAAATCACGTAATTTTTAAAAACGTTTGCTTTGGTCGTTCATCCGTTTTTCCGTTGACGGCTTAGATAGTTTCCCCAAATATATATGGAGGAAAATCTAGAAGAGCGTGAACCAAGCTTGAACTTTCAATTTCAATATTTGCTAATCTGTAATTACAGCCCTTCTCTTACTGCGTGCATACCGCTCTAGATGGCTCCTATGAATAATTATTTAAAACTTTATAACAATATCTGTCCGGTTCCGGATTTTACAGTTTTCTACTTATTGTGGGCTTGATTGTTGTGTAGTCTGATACGATCCGATAAATATGTGCACTCTAAACCTTAGATTAAGACAAATCATCAGCTACAATCTATTATCTATAATGGGATTTATTATAATGAACTCATGTTCCTTATGAGTTATGAGCCAAATTTCATTTTTCACTTTAACCCCATGCATGGATAAGCGCCTGAACAATGGATGGCAAAGAACGACAAGGGAAGAACAGACGGACATACAAATGAATAGGCGGACCTAATGTGATCTATTCCGAATCTTAAGCTGCTTAGGAATATACGAAAAATTTTTAATGTCTACGAGACCAAGTTCTGAATCCCATAAAGGGAAAAACAAATTCGGCACGACATCCGTCTTGGTATAAAACAATTAATTAAACAAAATAATTTATACAATAATTTTTTTTTAAATTTCAAAATGTATGTCACTCTTGTAGTTACAAGCGGATTGCACAGCTCGATTTTGCGATCAAAATATATCTAAAGCATTCACTATTATTATTTGTAATCCTTGATAAGAGAAGAAATTTTCTTCTTTTTTTGTTTTATATATTATTGTTACTATTGTGTACGTATTAGTAAATTTGAATCCACTTTAATTAAACCTTTTTTTCTGATTTTTTAATTTACACAAATAATTTTAAATATTCAACACTAATCACTACTTTGCGTAAAAAATTAATTTCTGTTATCCGTTACCGATTCGGTTAGTTGACTAACGACCACATCCTTAAGCGCAATCTTTGAAACTAAACATATTCATTTAAAATTGTATCATTTTAACTAATGTAGCTCAAAAATAAAGTAAACAGATAAGGCTGACTGGACTTGACGGCTTTATCAACAAAGCTCTTCGGTTACACATCTTCAATTTCATATTTTTTCTCTTTTGTGATAGGAAAAAAAAGCTTTCGAATTTTCTTCTCTTAATTTCTCTTAACTCCTTAAAGCTTTTGCTAGTACCTATGACAAATTAGAACATTATAGTACGGCAAGGCTGATTGTTGAACCATTTCGCCTAATGGCAATTCTTCGTGAATTTAAGTCATAAGAAAACGAAAAATTGTAGTTCTTTGGAAAGACTTACATTTCCATAAAAACGCTTATAGAAGAAGGATTTCAAATAGTTAAACAGTTAATATCGTAATAAATATAACAGCGAGAGCCTACGATTGGATGGAAAATCTATATATATATATAATTGTCTTTGATATGATGTAAAAAAGAATAAAATGCTTCGTTCGGGAAGCGCTCTTAACAAAGACTTAAAAGTCGCTTCGTTGACGGCAGTCGATCGTCGGAAAACAGTTTATTATATTAGTTCGTCATAACCGACCAACTAGAAGATGTGGCCTACTTTAGCATATATCAGGCGAATCAAGCGAGCATACAAAAAATTGGGAAATCCCTTTTCAGAACAATGTTTAACAATTTCTTTTTCAAACTTGGTATTTTATCACGCCAAATACGAAACGGGATAAAGGAGCAGAGAATAAATGGAAAGAAGATAATGGAAGTAGAACGATAAGGGCACAAAGGGAAAGATAGTGAAAAGATAACGTGATAAACGCCACAAGTAGTCGTCAAGAAATGTCACCTATTTACTTACCTACCAAAGGTTATTCTACCTATCTATCCTACCTGCTCTAACTTTTTTCGTTTTCAGTGAGGGTAGTAGCAGCTCACCGTAAACTAGTGGTCCTATACTTGCGTCGAACCATCCCGGAACCGTTCTCGTATTACCTCGAGAGGGACCTTTATGCAATCTTGATCCTCATTATAATATTGTACGGGCGACACAACTATAATTGTAGTTCGTGCTATACCTCAAGTATGTAAGCGTATTACTGGCGGGGTTCCTATAAGTAATAGTACTTACCTACTTTGCCTACCTAATTTACCCACCTTTTCTACTGATTTATCCGACTTTATCTATTCTACCTAACCTTTTCACCCTAACTGATCTGTCTTACCTACCTGCCCTACCTCTTTTACGCCAGCAAGCACTCTAGTACACTTTTCTAGCTACCTATCCTATCCCGCCCTCCTTACGTACCTAGCTAGCGATTTATTATCTCATGTATATAGTAGACGATATACATGGAACGTTTTGACATCCTTTAAGACATATTAAATGCCTGTAGTGGCCGTATTTTTCCAAAAATGCTGTCAAACTCCTGAAGCTTGTCTATCCGTCTGTCTGTCTCATCTTTCGCCATGTAAATCGATGTCCAACCCTCAGATTGTTAGTTTCGGGTATGCAGGCCTTTTTTTGGCCAAAGCGTGAGCCGTATTAAATTTAAATCGAATCACTGTCATAAAGCTCTGCTATCATAACTATAGTGAACTGTGCATCATCATAAAATATCCTACACCTTTTAACATTAATTTACATAACGACTTTTCGAAATGAAGAGTTACATCGGAAGTGTTCGAAAACCTGATCCGGTCAATTTTGATCCTTGGTCCTTTAGTCAAAACATGTCAATCTATTAAATCGCACTAAAATATCTTAAAAATTGCGGCTTGTAGGTTGAATACGAGAAACTTAGACGGACGGACGGACAAATAAGAACTCATTCGAAATCGTTTTCTAAATCTGAATCACTCGGTATAATAAAAGTTCAGTCTACCCCTGATCCTTCTGGGTGCTACGTACGTCCGCACAAACTAAGTAAACCCTTGTTGCACATGTGTTGCAGGGCAGATTATTCACAAGTCAGCCTCACCCGACTCTAAAACTTTAATTTATCCATCGTCTGAGTTATCTACAACAATTTGTGACTTACTTTCCCTTACCTTAACCGTTAGCTTTTGCGTTTGCATTAACAGCAGAAATAGATTTCTTAATAAGAGCCAAGTATGACTGTAGTTGCTTTATCTGTTAGAGCGCAACAGTTACCTGAACTTGCACTAGTTATTGGCTCTACAATTAATGTATGATTCTATTAAAAACAATCATACGGATGTAAGCACAGTTGGTGACTCTCCCCTCCGCTAATATGTTATCACTGCCAGCAGAGAACTTTAAAAAGTTACGAGCATTTATTAAAGATGCAGCAAGAAACTTATAAAACTAAAACTTAAATTTGCCTGCATTTATTTATTTATTTTTTATTTTTTTTTTTTCTTTTGCATGCATAAATTTTTCCTAAACTTGTGCGCTTTACATCATTATCTTGACTAATCTGATTATATCGTTTTGGTTACTTTCGCTAGAATTTTAAAACAACAACAACGACAGCGAAAGTTAGAATGAAATTTTTTACCGTAAAAATAAAGAAAATAAAAATTCACATAAACTATATTTTCACTGCTTTTAGGCAAGACATGTTGTTATTGTTGTCTTGTTGTTGAAGGCCCCTTAACCACAAGGTATATCAGCCACAATGCAAGTTTACCTGCATTGTGTCGGTGTATGTAAAAATAATCCTGCTTAAATCTGCTTATAATGAAGATTGCAAAGGAGACAATGTGTTACGCAAGTTTTTATTAATTTTCTTTTCTTTTTATTTTTTTGTTTTTGTACCTCCACTAGTTTTAATTAATGCAGATATTCTGACTGATTATAGAGCAAAATTCTGAAATTCTCAAGCAAGAGTTTTTATTAATCATAGCGAAAAAAAGTGTAGGATAGATATGAAATCCGTATGAATTGAAATTTGCCACCAATCTTTAAGAGCACATCGCGTACATTTTCTAACCAAGAAAAGAAATCGTAGATGGATTGGCTGCTGCCCAATGGAAAATTTTCCAATTGATTATTATAAGCGAACTTTTTAAGTGCTCAACAAACAGCGTTGTACAACAATACAACAAATGCGCAAATGTACAATGTACAAATCATTTTCCTTTGTCATAACAAATTGTATCTTGCGTCTATATGTAAATCCGTAACGAAAATCGTGTAAATTTCAAACGCTCCAAGTAACTCCAAGCAATTACAAATATATTCGACTGAGTGGCCGAGTAGAGAAGAGTCTCGACTAGCAACACAATGGTGGTGGGTTCTCAATTCACAAGTACGCTAGACTTTTTAATAAAGCCGAAAACCTTAGATGACTTAGACTTTTAATCTTAGAATTTTGAGGTTATATTCGATTCAGATTTTTGTGCATATTCTATAATGCACGGATCAGTA